TCTGGTGCTGGTCACTGACGAGGAACAGCACATCAACCTGCTCGCCACCTCGCCGTCGGACCTCACGGCTTACCTCGTCGAGGGGGTCAGCCGCTGGCAAGGGCGACAGATCCTGAGCCATTTCGGCGGCGCGCAGCCCACGGGGCCGATCTGGATGCGGGTCCTGAGGCTGTGCGCGGGTGGCAAGGGTGCCGCTGTTGCCGAAAGGCCTGCTGCCACCAGCCTCAGGACCACTGGGCAGGCACGCCGTGGACCAGGCAGGGGCAGCTAGACGTTGGGGTTGCCCCGGGGGCCAGCTGTCTGGCGTGCGGAGCGGAGGCGGACACCCCTGGTCACAGGCTGTGCGATTGCGAGGCCCTGCTGCGCGCACGCCAGGCGAGCCCCCCTGGAGGCAGCGAGCTTGGCACGGCATGTTTCGTTGCGAACAGGCCGTCGGTAGAGCAGGACGTCCTCCCCGACCGACTGCAGCAGATATGGGATTACTATGCGCGACAAGGGCCTGCAGGCAGGCGGCGTGGGGGTCGCGGACTTCAGCGGGTTCGAGCATGAGGTCGGGCCCCCCGCGCTGCCGCCGCGCGTGCCGCCTGCGGCCGACGAGGCGGAGGTCAGGCTCTGGGGCGACTGTAGCGGCGCGAGCGACGAGCAGCGCGGGAACATTGCGTTCACCGATGGCTCGGGCTTCGCGAGCAGCATGCCCGAGCTGAGGCGCTGCGGGCGGTCGCTGGCCCAGCTCGGCTCCAACGGGGCGCCCGTTCGCGCGGCCTTCGGGGCCCTTCCTGGCTGCCTGCAGACGGTGGGTCGCGCCGAGCGACACGCGCTCATGCAGGTCACCAAGCTCCTGGGGCAGCAGGCGCGATTCGCGGCCGTTGACCCGCTGGCTCTGGCCCAGGAGACTAGCAGCTGGGGGCCAGAGCTGGAGCGAGCCAAGTCGGTGCACGCCACGGTGTGGAGGCACCTGCGGCAGCAGCCATGCCGCCCCGAGGTGTTCTGGGCCCCCGCGCGCCAGGACGTCGACGGGCACCTGGCGGCGGGGCCCCGCCCAGAGCTGTACGCGGGCAGCCTGTGGGCGGACTGGTTCGCCAAGCAGGGGGCTTCGCAGCGCGCGGCGCCCCAGGTGCACGCGGATTTCTACGCCGTCGAGGTGCAGTACTTCAAACAGGTAGCGGACTACGTCAAATGGGCCATGCAGCGCTGCCTGGCCATCGGGGACTGGGCCCCCGAGGCGCGCCGCGTGCCCGCGGCGCCGCCGCCGCCGCCCGCGCCGAAGCTGACGGTGGTGGAGCGCTCCCTGGTGCGCGTGCAGGGGAAGCGCGGTATGTCGTGCACCGAGCGCGGGCGCCGATCCCGCGCTGAGACAAGTGCGGCGGCGCAGCAGTTTGTCAGGTCGAGCTGTTTGCCGACGCCGCTGGCGCGCCTCAAGGCGGCGGCTGAGGTGGCGCATTCCGGTGCGGGGCCATGCTGGATGGGCGGCGCCGAGGGCCTGGGTGCCGAGGCGCGGCAGCAGTGCGACGGTTGCAGGCCCTGCTAGCTGGCGCAGAGACCGGGCCCTTGGTTTCGCGAGGGGGGCGGCGGTGGCGCGGCGCTGCACCTCGGCATCGGCCGCGGCGCACGGGGCCCACCATCTTCTGCGAGGTCTGCGTCGCGCGGGTGCAGGCCCGAGCTGCGAGGGGGGCTGCAGAAGGCGCGCTGCGGACCGCCCACCGACAAGGGGCGCCACCAGCGCACCTACGTCAACAACCTGGCGGCCAGGAGGGGCAGGCTGCTGCGTGGTCTGGACCCCAAGACGGGCAGGTCATGGGCTACGGGCGCGCTGGTGCACGACGAGCGCAGTTCGGTCGACGACAGCTCCGAGGAGGGCGCCGACGAGGCGGTCGCGGCCCATGGCTGTGCGGAAGCCCCGCTGGCGGACGCGCAGGGGACCGCGACGCGCGGGTCTCCCGCAGCGCCGTGTGGCGGGCGCACGGAGGAGGCCCTGAAGGCGGGCGCTCAGGAGACCGCGACACGCGGGGCCCCCGCAGAGGAGCTGCGAGGCGGGCGCACGGAGGAGGCCCCGCTGGCGGGCGCGCAGGGGACCGCGACGCGCGGGGCTTCTGTACCGCCGAGAGGCGGGCGCGCGGAGGCCAGCCGCTTGACTTGCGGAGGTTGCGGCGCGCCGCAGCGCTTGCGCGGCGCCGGCGCCGTCCTGGCAGGAATGGCTAGAAGTGCTGCGACGGCGCGTTGCGACTCGCGGCGGGCGTCGCCGCTGGCGGGGCTGGCAGTGCTCCCACGGCGCAGGTCGCGGAGGCGTTGACCGACACGGGGTGCGCTGTCGGTGATCGCGCCGAGTCATGGGCAGTGCGGAGGCAGGCACTGCTGCGGCGGCTCCAGGCGCGGGCCGAGCGGCTCTGCGGCGGCGCTGGGGCGGTCCCCAGGGAGGCGCCTGCGGGCTTTGCCGCGCGGCTGCGGCGGCGCGGCATCCGCATGGCGAGGCCGCCGCCCAGGGCGGCCCTGCCGCAGCGGC